AAAAAATTTTGCTATTCTGCTTTGACTCACCAGAATAAAAGTCAATGGGTCAGATACTACAAAAACATAAAAACTGTTCAAAACGGAATGAAAATGTTTTGGTTAGTGATCCACTTTAAGGCTGAACATTGAGATCCATGCAAAAGTCTTGTATTATTTATCTGGCTGTGGCTACTTGAAGAAAATGATCTGTGGCCTTGAATTAATGCCGGGCCTTCATTTTTTTTTTTTAATGAAATACATTACTTTAAGCATGATGTCCGCCGGCACGTAGCATATTATCTAATTACAGTCACTACATGCCATTCTCCAATCCTCACCTCCCTAAGCACACTTGTATGCAGAGTGACTTCTTCCCTTGTAAAATTATCATTTTTATTGTAATTGGTTTGCCAGATATATACGCAGCTTGTTAATTAATTGGGGAATACGGCTCCCTTGCCTATGTAAATTAGATATGGAATGTTATCAAATATGATGTTTGCTAAATACATGCAGCTTCTTCAGATTTAACAAAAATATAAAATTTTCCAAGATTAAGAATTCACAGGGTTCGATTCATAAAGTGGGAATGTAGTTTTTTCAATTTATTTATAGATATTTAGATGAACAAAGGAAGTTTAAATTAAATAATCTTATCACAATCAACTGTTTCTATGTAAAGTTTGCAGTCGGAGATATACATGGGGGCAGCCATAGTTGCTCATTGCATACACAGGCTTAATACTGTTGCACAATAGTAATAAATAGTTGTGGCTGCATTAGTTTTTTTTCTTTTTACAGGTTTGCTTTGTTTTCACCTGGTGATTTTTGACAGTATCAGACTTCCTGTCCTAGGGTGACAACATTCTGTCACTGTACTGTATCTATGAAGAAGAAGCGTTGTTACTCTATGGTAGAAGACATGTTAGGGCTACAGAATGCCTCACCCTCTCCACTTCTCCATAACATGAGGGGTGGGGGTCTCTGTAGTGCAGAGAGAGAGCTGGGAACATTGCCGAGTTTACACTAGCACATTCTGGAAATGCACCAAATGTGTGATGGTGTGTGGCAGTGCCATTCACATCTGCAACAATATTCATTGTGGTGCATTGCAGTTAAGGTGCATTTTGATGCGTTGACATTAAATTTTGCCTTCAAACTGCAGCCTGAGGGACAGATGTGGCCCTTTGCTACCCTTTATTTGGCCCTTGGGGCACTAATACTCCCAAATTACACCAGCAATGGGGCACTATTCCTCCCACTGACACCAATGATGGGGCACTATTCCTCTCACTGACACCAATGATGGGGCACTATTCCTGTCACTGACACCAATGATGGGGTTCTATTCCTCTCACTGACACCAATGATGGGGCACTATTTCTAACACTGAAAGCATTGATGGGCACTATTCCTGCCACTAAGATCTATGATGGGGCACCATTTCTATCACTAAAACCAACAATGGGGCACAATTTTTCCCTCTTTGATCAATGATGGGACACTATTCCTTCAAGATCAATGATGGGGCACTATTCCTCACACTGAAAGCAATGATTGGGCACTATTCCTCCAACTAAGATCAATGATGGGGCACTATTCCTCCAACTAAGATCAATGATGGGGCACTATTCATCTCACTGAAAGCAATGATGGGGCACTATTCCTCCAACTAAGATCAATGATTGGGCACTATTCCTTTCACTGAGACAATGATGGGGCACTATTCCTCCCACCGACACCAATGATGGGGCACTATTCCTCTCACTGAGACAATGATGGGGCACTATTCCTCCCACCGACACCAATGATGGGGCACTATTCCTCTCACTGAGACAATGATGGGGCACTGTTCCTAACACTGAAAGCATTGATGGGGCACTATTCCTCCCACTAAGATCAATGATGGAGCACTATTCCTAACACTGATACCAATGATGGGGCACCATTCCTCTCACTAACACCAACAATGGGGCACTATTCTTCCCACTAAGATCAATGATGGGGCACTATTCCTCCAACTATGATCAATGATGGGGCAATATTCCTCCAACTATGATCAATGATGGGGCAATATTCCTCCAAGATCAATGATGGGGCACTATTCATCCCACTGAAAGCAATGATGGGGCAGTATTCATCCCACTGAAAGCAATGATGGGGCAGGATTCCTCCCACTAAGATCAATGATGGGGCACAATTCCTCTCAAAAAGATCAATGATGGGGCACTATTCCTGTCACTGACACCAATGATGGGGAACTATTCCTCCCACTAAGATCAATGATGGGGCACTATTCTCCTGTTAACACTAATGATGGGGCACTTTGCTAATCTATATCCGACCCTTGGGGTACGAGTACTCACAGTGATTTAAGTCACTATTCCTAACATGGACACCAACAGTGGGGCATAATTCCCAAACTGACACCAATGATGGGACACTATTCCTCCCATTGGTGATAATAAAAGATGTTATAGTGAGCGCGACTTAGATGAAAAAGTGTATAGGTATATATATACAACAATGTTACTGAGCAGCTGATACACCGAAAAGGTAACCAAATGAAAACCTTCAATCAGACATAAATATTAAATAAAATGGTGCAGCGCTAAATAATAAAGCACAGTTTATACACACAATATATGCACATGCGTGATATCACTCTGATGGTGATCCATAGATACAAAAGTTCAATGTAATAGTGCGGATCATGGAGAGATCCTAATTCAAGGTGAGTGGACGTCCTGATCCAAGGTGTGATGATAAGTGTGAACCACACAAAATAGGTGAAAAACGCACTCACCAGATGTGCGTTTAATATACGCAATATGTAATCCTGCGTCACCAAGCCATAGAACGATCATCAGATCCCAGATCAGATTGTACCCAGATCACCATCCCGGCTCCACAGAAGTAAGGTCATCCGAAACCGCTACCAGGTGTCATCACCAGGATCCTGAGTCCTCCAAATGGGCACTGCGAATGATGGCACTCACACAGAGTGCCCAATAAGAGACCTCATAGCATGATACTGCTTTAAAACCTTTATTCAGGGTTGGTAGGTGTGGGGTACATAAAAATTTCAACCAAAAAGTTTACTGACCATATGCATTTCAAGGTGGTTAGGTGTCCCGCTGTTGTTGCTGCCCCGCTGACGCGTTTCGTGCGATGCACGTATTCATAGGGTTCAGGGCCCTATTGTGTGTATAAACTGTGCTTTATTATTTAGCGCTGCACCATTTTATTTAATATTTATTCCTCCCATTGACACCAACAATGGGGCACTATTCCTCCCACTGATACCAACGATGGGGCACTATTCCTCTCACTGATACCAATGATGGGGCACTATTCCTCCCACTGATACCAATGATGGGGCACTATTCCTCTCACTGATACCAATGATGGGGCACTATTCCTCCCACTAATACCAATGATGGGGCACTATTCCTCCCACTGATTCCAATCATGGGGCACTATTCCTCCCACTGATACCAATGAAGGGGCAATATTCCTCCCACTGACACCAATGATGGGGCACTATCCCTCCCACTGACACCAATGATGGGGCACTATTCCTCCCACTGACACCAACGATGGGGCACTATTAATCCCACTAATAACATTGATGGGGCAATATTGCTCTCACTGAGACCAACAGTTGGGCACTATTCCTCCTCCTACTGACCACAGGCACTATGCAACTGAACACCACACCTGAGGTATTGTTTACTTTCACTCATGCCAGGCCTGGACACTGGTCACAATCCGGCCCCCCTAAAAGTCTGAAGGACAGTACAGTGGCCCTTTGTTTTGAAAGTTTGGAGACCCCTGGTCTATCAGATAGGCAGCCCAACTGAAGATGCTTGCACGGTAGGCTGACAACACTGCTGCTACTTCTGAGGCGGTGGCTTAGTGTTGTCAGCATGCAACTGGAAATGCTGTGACTGGCAGGATCACTGGGTAAGAAACTTTTCAACAGACTCACATAATTCAGTTTGCTTATGAACATTTATTACAAGGCAGCACAATGCCAAACATACAAAAAAAATTGATTCTTTAGCTACACGCTGTATAAATGAATACGTCTGCAGAGAGAATAGCCATCCCTGCACTAGGTTGTGGACAATAAGGGCAGAAAATGTCTTTTCCCGTAGGAGAAAACTAGTCATTATGCACAGTGTGATTTTCTTTAAGACTCCATTCATAGCATGTCGGTGTGACGAAACGCGTTTCATGTTTCTGTGCGTTTTCTGAATGTTGCATGTACGGCAACCTATTCATTTGGTCCCTGACACTTTTGTAAAACTGCCACGCCAAAATCAATGGTGCTTCAGAACACACATTAGTAGATACAAGGGGGGTGCCATGAATTATCAATACTGCCGCATGTCTGCTAAAGGGAAACGCGTTTCTGTGTGTGTCAGCAAATCTCATCATTTTGCATGTGGACATAGCCTCCCAGCATAGATTTTTTACAGCAATTGGTTTGACTTTCTTACAATCACGAAACAGCTTTTATTAATGCAGTTTTGGAGGCTGCGTTCACACTTTGCGCACGCACAATCACGCACTTTCCTGACGCACACAAACGCGCTGACCTGTGGTGGTACCAATAACTCTAAATGGCACCTCCACGTATCTGCTAAGGCATGCATTAAAAATAATAATGTCATAGCTCCATGCGTTTCAGCGCAGCGTGATTTTGCAAAAGGGTCAGGGGCTTTTTTTTGGCCGTTTGTCACTCATAGGGCAGTCCATTGAAAAGATTGGGCTGCCCCACACACGGCATGCAGAAAACATACACGTGCTTCATTGTACATACATGATGTGAACAGAGCCATACAGAGAACATAGGCCCAAATTAATTATTATTTTGGTGATGAACAAATTCTGATCTCCTCTTGTATTTGATGTTCTTTAAAATATTTCACTGAATAGAAAAAAAAGAAAAAGAGAAAATCCTTTATAACATAATGATGGAGCTTCACAGAAGATTTCCTTTCCACTAACAGGCAGTGAAGAACCAGCAATATCGATTTAGTGTCATTCATTATGAGCGAGCTCTCAGCCACAGATAATGTTCCCTACATGGTCACGCTGCTCAGCGTCATCAACGCCATCATTTTCGGAACAGAAGAGCTGAGGATTCGAGTGCAGCTGAGGAACGAATTTATAGGTAATAATTCTACAAAAATAACATTCTGTACGTTTTCCCCTTCATTGGGAAATACAGTAGATGGGATTCATAGTGAATGTCGTCTTATACAGGGCCAATGTTTACTAAGGTAAGATTAGAAGGTGCAAACCACTGCGAGGCATTGCCACAGAAATGATGTATAGAACCATGAAAGTGGAGGTGTGCTGTGTAGGAAACTTAAAGGTAAACTCCAGGCACTAAATCGTTCATTTCAATATATTCCTTAGTAGCCGCAAAGGATATAACTCCACTTTGTGTGCACCAAATGCCTTTGCAAACACAGTTATTACCTTGTAAAACTAGCAGTGCCAACATCACTGTGCTATACATAGTCTGTGCAGAGAGCTGAGCTGTGGGAGGGGTCCAGAAGGCCCCACCCACTACAGGCTGCAAGTAGCTACAGGAGGGGGCGGATACAAGACCAGTCACCTTGCACAAGGAGAGAGAACAGCAGTTAACGGTCTTTGTTACAGGAAGCTCCTGCATAGAGGTAAAGTCTCACACTGAATTACTGCACAAATCTGGAAGAAATACAAAAAGCACACTAAGGGCTCCTTCACACTTGACTTATTTCCAACGCTTGCCAAACGCCCCTTTAGCGTTTGACAGGCGGTAGATAGGCATTTGGGAAGCATTTTTAACGCTCCGCAAATGCTCCTATGTGCGTTTTTGAAGCGTTTGACCCTGCGTGAGCCTGGACATGCCTTAACAAAGATGGTCCATCTTTGTTAAGGCATGTCCAGGTTCACGCAGGTGCAAGGGTTTGTCTGGGATCGTTGTATCAGGACTCTTAGATGCCATTGCTGACAGCGGAGTTTGAGCAATGAGGGACATCAGACCAGACCAGACCTTTTCCATCTTAAAGGGACCTCCAGGTTACTGAGAGTGTTATCTCTAAATGTGCTCTTTGATTGCGCATCTGGTGAGTGCGCAGTCTTTACATGTTTGGCCACATCACCACCGTACAGGATAAAATCACCAGATTTTGAAGATCATCATGATCTCCTATGCACTTCACTTTGGACTATATGAGGATCATTGATTGATTTCTTGGCACCTTACACACCACTGGTCACTACAAAGTGATGTAATTTATCACTATTCAGTCACTTTATTTCATTGTCAGCACTTTACCACTGGTGCCACTTTTATGTATTTATTTGCTCTATTATATGTACATATATGCATATTAATGTTTGGGAGTGACACTATTCTATGTTACCACTGAGTCACTTTACTGCAATCAGCACTTTGTCACTGATTATTTTATGATCTCATTATTATGGTCTGCATATGATTATAACTATTTTAGCGCTACACCCTATTTTATGTTTGCATTTTTGAAGGTTTTCTTGGTACCTTCTGGTGTTTTAGCGGTTTTTTGTGACTTCCAGCGCTCACTTATCCCTTTTTGTGCTATATCAATATATACATGGACCCCTAGGATTCAAGTAAGAATACACATGCCTCTTGTATTTAGACAATATTTGTTTAGCCTGGAGTTCAGCTTTACCCCAGGTTCACACCTAAGAGTTTTCCACAGCATTTTGCAGAAATGCCCCACAGTCCATTTAACATGATTTCCTATGGGACACTTTCACATCTCAGCGTTTTTACCCGATGCGTTTTTTGGAAAGGGTCAGGGACTTTTTTTTTACCGCAAAACGTTACATTTTGGTTCTATAGACTTCAATGGAAACACTGCAGAAAAGCATGTAGTGCGTTTTTGCCGCATTTTTTATGTGTTTTTGCCACGTTTTGCTTTTTAAAATTGCCTAGCAGCAAGAAAAAATAAAAAAAAAACACAACGCATCAAAAATGTGGCAAAAACGCAACGCAAAACACAATGCAGAAATGAATCAAATGCAAACTGCATAGGTGTGAACCTTGCCTTAAAGAGATCCTCTCAGGTCTCTAAAGATATCAAACCTGCAATCCAAGAAGTAGCATACTCACCTCTCCAGTGACCCATCTCTCCTGCCTTCCCCAGATTTTCAGCATTTGACACTTCTGGTAGTGTCAGATGTCAATGCCAGTAGTGGTTTACTGTGACTAGGCTATGAACATTAGGTCCCTTTCACACGAATGTTCCGGTCAGGTTTGCATGTCTGTTTTTTACAGTCAGAACCTCCATTCTTCTCTATGGTGTGGCATGTATAAATGGTCATGTGTCCATTTATACCCACCCACATCCAATCCAATTTGCCAAAAACAGATGGATGGGGATTTGTTCCCCTTCTGTCTGGCGAATCAGATTGGATGGCAGTGGGGTGTAAATGTACAGGCAGTGCAGAGGAGAGTGGGTTGTGTGGGTTTATGCAGAGCGGATACGGTCATTGGCCTCCTCAGTGGGGATCAGAGGAAAGATCACCCGCTGAGCAAATGGATTGCATGCGGATTCTGCCCCCTGTGAAGGGGTCCTCATTGCCCATTTTTACCATGTAATAATGCACGTCAGTTCAACATGTGGCAATGCTTGTTACATGTGTTGTACTGAAAATGATTTTGAATGACGCCCAAAAAATTGCACCATAGTGCCTTGTGGTTCACTGCATTACAAATGATGTGACACACCTGTTTTTCAGGACATCCGATTTTTGGGACAAGTCATGAACACACAAAAATGGAAATGGACCCGATTACATCCATATTTCATATAAGCAGTATATACATTTGAGGGCTTGTTCAATTGTTTTCTATGAGCCCTGGACACACCATATATGTATGATGGTGTGCAGAAACAAAACGTGGCTCAACAGGCATGGTGTGAAGAATTCCGTTACCTCTAAAGCTGCAGGCACTGTGAAGTAATTCATCCTCGAATCTTACAGTAGAAGTTCAGCTCTTCTTCAAGCAGTGACTCAGCAGCCTTCCAGCCCTCCAGGTCTTATGCATACAGGATGGTTTTTTTTTTCCTCCTTTTTGCTCCAGGGGAGGAAAACGCAGCTTAAAACCCCCACCTAAAGCCACATTTTGCATTTGCGTTAGGCATTAATGCATTCTTGGCCAGAATTTATTCTGGCCATTGGAATGCATTAATGCAGGAACGTGGTTCAACATGTCTAGCGTTTGGCGTTTTATTTATTTCAGGTACTTATATAGTATGCAGCACTTTACATAAATATTGTACATTCACATCAGTCCCTAACCCTCAAGGGGCGTACAATCTAAGGTCCCTAACTCACATTCATACATACACATACTAGGGACAATGTAGACAGGAGACAATTTACCTACCAGCATGTCTTTGGAGCGTGGGAGGAAACTGGAGGAAACCCACACAGGCACAGGGAGAACATGCAAACTCCAGGCAGGTGGTGCTGTGGTTGGGATTCAAACCAATGACCCTAGTACTCCAGGTGAAAGTGCTAGTCATTTAGCCACTGTGCTGCCCCTCTGCTGCTTTTTTTTTTTTGAATGTACAAGTGATGTTTTGTTTTTTTTTAAATTTTATTTCAAAACACTCCTCTCCTACTACATCTATAAACTCCTATGTGTGCATAGACATGTAGGCTAACATAGAAGGGTGGGTAAAAAAGTCAAGCGCCTGTAAAAGCAACATTTTTGACATCCTGTGTGCATAAATCCTAATCCAACGATGCTCAACGCGCGTCCACCCACTCTCTGTGCGTAATCTGCTGTGTCTGGGGTTGGGCCGCCACCTGTGAACTTTGCAGAGCGGCTGCCGGTGCCGGGAGCTGAAAAGCTTTCTGTGCTTCAGCACCTGGCACTGAAACAGTGATGGTGCGGCAGTGGTGTCTGACACGTGGCCTGCAGGCCGCTCTCTGCATGTAAACTGCCATTTGTTGGGCACTTGTGAACTTTTTGTAAGGGGCCGCAGGATGCCAGGCATTGAAACACTCAATGCAGTTCAGCAGATGGCACTGAAACAGTGAGGGTGCGACAGTGGTGTCTGACATGTGGCCTGCAGACCGCTCTCTGCATGCAAACTGCCACTTGTTTGGCACTTGAGAACTTAGTAAGGGGCCGCAGGATGCCAGGTATTGAAACACTCAATGCAGTTCAGCACCTGGCACTGAAATAGTGATGGTACGACAGTGATGTCTGACACGTGGCCTGCAGACCACCCTTTGCATGCAACCTGCCACTTGTTGGGCACTTGTGAACTTTGTAAGGGGCTGCAGGATGCCAGGTATTGAAACACTCAATGCGTTTCAGCAGATGACACTGAAATAAGGACAGCACTGTCAGGCTCTTAGAAAAAGTAGTACTGACCTTGTTGAAAGGCTGCTCTGCATTGAACATTCTTGCTATGGGGTTGGGGCCCATTTACAGGGGGTACAGACATGCGTCACCTCTGCAGGGCCAACTTTTTCTGGCATGGGGTTGCACAGCTGTTGCATGCATCCCTGTGCTGGCATCCCCTTCCTTTCTCTTGGGACACACAGGTTGCATGGGCACAACCGTTGTGTCCTAATATAACATGCAGTTGTGTGTGGGTCCCCGAATGCACCGTCATGGTATATTAGGACACAGTGGCTATGCCAATGATGCCACATGTCCCAATAGAAATAAATAGGAAACAGGGATGCACAGCTGCACAGGAGACGCAGATGGTACGGCAGTGGTGTCTGACATGTGGCCTGCAAGCCACTCTCTGCATGCATCCTGCCACTTGTTGGGCACTTGTGAACTTTGTAAGGGGCCACAGGATTCCAGGCATTGAAACACTCAATGCATTTCAGCACCAGGCACTGAAACAGTGATGGTACGGCAGTGGTGTCTGACACGTGGCTGCAGGCCACTCTCTGCATGCAACCTGCTATTTGTTGGGCATTTGTGAACTTTGTAAGGGGCCACAGGATTCCAGGCATTGAAACGCTCAATGCATTTCAGCAGATGGCACTGAAATAGTGACAGTACGGCAGTGATGTCTGACACGTGGCCTGCAGGCCACTCTCTGCATGCAACCTGCCACTTGTTGGGCACTTGTGAACTTTGTAAGGGGCCGCAGGACG